TGAGGTAGAGACAAGAACACATCAACAAATCAGTTACTTCATTCAAGATAACCAACCAATGCCTCATTCCTGTAATCTAGGACCTCAGGGTTTTGTTAAAACACCAACGCTTGCCATTTCACTGGTTGCTAATTAGAAGGTAACCAAATGCATGACTGTCTTTGCCACCAGGCAAGACAATTAAGTGAATCCACATAATAAACCGCTAACACCCTCTGACTAAGGATGGGATTGGCATCATGTCCCCACAACTTCAAGGATACTCTACCCCCATAACTTGTTAGTAATCGTTAACCATTAACCCATCCCTATACTAAACTCCACTCNACACCCTCTGACTAAGGATGGGATTGGCATCATGTCCCCACAACTTCAAGGATACTTTTCCCCCATAACTTGTTAGTAATCGTTAACCATTAACCCATCCCTATACTAAACTCCACTCTAAATACCACTCATAAATGAGGGGAAAAGGTAAGCAATCTCTTCTAAGAAACTCCTATGTACCAAAGTCATCCACAATCATAAACACTAAAACACTTTGGATTGATTATGTTCAATATTGCCTTCTCACTTGAGCGCTAGGGGGAATTTGACCGGCACCACATAAGTTTCCCCTTTGTTTGTTCATTCCNAACTCCACTCTAAATACCACTCATAAATGAGGGGAAAAGGTAAGCAATCTCTTCTAAGAAACTCCTATGTACCAAAGTCATCCACAATCATAAACACTAAAACACTTTGGATTGATTATGTTCAATATTGCCTTACTCACTTGAGCGCTAGGGGGAATTTGACCGGCACCACATAAGTTTCCCCTTTGTTTGTTCATTCCTTTAACAAGAACTCTAGACTAACACATAGGACTATCAGAATGTAACATTACCAACTTGAACCCCTAGTATTGACAACACGATCCTCTTGCATCTCGCTCTAGCAGGCCAATCACCACGTCACGATCTTCAGGACCCATGTAAAAGGTTGTTCCAACAACACCTATTTCTAGTAGTCCAGCTATTATTATTGGAGGTAGGATCAATAATGAAAAAGGCTCATTAATAAAGATATTGAAGAGAAAGGAAATGGTTGGATCGTNTTGAACCCCTAGTATTGACAACACGATCCTCTTGCATCTCGCTCTAGCAGGCCAATCACCACGTCACGATCTTCAGGACCCATGTAAAAGGTTGTTCCAACAACACCTATTTCTAGTAGTCCAGCTATTATTATTGGAGGTAGGATCAATAATGAAAAAGGCTCATTAATAAATATATTGAAGAGAAAGGAAACGGTTGGATCTTCGAAGTTCCTCTAGCCATAATACAATCAAATGCTTTAAATTGAGAAGATGGAGTGAAGAAACATGGGTGTGCAAAGCTCACAAGCTCTTTAGAAGGAACAANGGTTGGATCGTCGAAGTTCCTCTAGCCATAATACAATCAAATGCTTTAAATTGAGAAGATGGAGTGAAGAAACATGGGTGTGCAAAGCTCACAAGCTCTTTAGAAGGAACAAAATCATACATAGAGGCACTTTGCCAACTTCAATACTCAAAATGAAAATAGAGTCCCTACCATGTAGCTCCAAAACAAAGCTAGTCAAGCTAGTTAGCTACTAGCAAAGGTAACACCTCTTAACCAACTTACAAGCAATGTAGAGGAGTTTCAGAGGAAGTGTGGTAGTACTCCCACGCCCCTGAAATTGAGAATGACCAAGTAGTTGGTTCCTATTCCCAAGAAGTTAGAAAGTTGTCAAGAATGAGAATGTTACACCTAACTATAATGCTCATATGCTGGCACCAAATCTNTCAAGCTAGTTAGCTACTAGCAAAGGTAACACCTCTTAACCAACTTACAAGCAATGTAGAGGAGTTTCAGAGGAAGTGTGGTAGTACTCCCACGCCCCTGAAATTGAGAATGACCAAGTATTTGGTTCCTATTCCCAAGAAGTTAGAAAGTTGTCAAGAATGGGAATGTTACACCTAATTATAATGCTCATATGCTGGCACCAAATTTCCTTCCAAGTAGTTGGTTATAAGGTTGAGAGTCAGCTTAGCAAACCTACATGGAGACAAGTTGAGGGTAAAGTTGTGGGTATGAAGCTTAGAAATAGAGTNTCCTTCCAAGTAGTTGGTTATAAGGTTGAGAGTCAGCTTAGCAAACCTACATGGAGACAAGTTGAGGGTAAAGTTGTGGGTATGAAGCTTAGAAATAGAGTCCTTATTTGAAAACCAATGAATTTAAAATATTTCAAACCTCAATTACCAGAAAGTAAACCAGTTGTATCTCATCCTTCATTTATGTCAAAACAAGGTAGTAAGAAATGGGCATCGTGTCTTATTGGGTACTTCATTGACAAGAAACTTCCCTTCCCATTAGTTAAACTTATTGGACAAAGGATATGGAACCCTCAGGGCATACTTGAAAGAAGATAGACAAATGCGATGGAGAGGTCCCCCACTTCGATTCCCCATGTTTCAACCAACTAAAGGTGTAAATTCTATGTTTCCAGTTTGGGTTAAGTTATTCTATAGCCCATTAAAATAATGACATGAATAGGCATAACTAGTATAGTAGGAATTCCCTTATATGCTAACTGTCTTACTGAAACTAAACAAATGGTCACATTTTCTAGATATAATTTGAAACAAGGGCCAACCAGGAACCCGCTAAATAATTTAAATTGGGAATGCATGACCACCTACTTGAAGAACATGGGGTTGTGGAGATATTGATTATGTTGAGAATTGTATAATATTGCAGAAGCGTAGGATCAAAGACATACATTTTTCACTTTTAACCCTCACATATTAATTTGTAGGNATTGATTATGTTGAGAATTGTATAATATTGCAGAAGCGTAGGATCAAAGACATACATTTTTCACTTTTAACCCTCACATATTAATTTGTAGGATGTTCTACAATCTTTAGAATTTGAAGTCATCGTTTTTTCTTTAATTGTTTGGGTGATATGATGATGTTAAACAAGAGGAATCAATAGCAAAACGTTTCACAGGACAAACCTTTCAAAGCTATATAAGGGGAGTACACAACTTAGACCCACACACACAAAAAAAAAAAAGGGGGAGTAGGAGATAGACTGTACATCAACAGTACTTGTTTTGATTATGTCTATTCGGTTATCCTAGAGTTTATATAGGCAACCAAAAGATGTCTTAAAGAAACACATCTCGCAAAAACATGTCTGTTGTATTTAGGGGTGCAACTCGGGCAGGTTGGGCTAGTTGAAAGGTCAACTCTGGCCCAACCTTAAGTATATAATTTTCAATCGTAACCGTAACCGTAACTCTACCTCAACTCGAAGTACTCAACCTGAGTACTACCTGAGTTTAATTCGGACGGGCTCGGATTGAATTCGGGTTACTTAATTCAAGCTGATTTCTGGTTAAAAATGGGGTTGGCTTGTGCTACTTAATTCGGGTTAATTTTTTGAAGTTTAGATTTGATTTTTTAAAGTGTAANCTTGTGCTACTTAATTCGGGTTAATTTTTTGAAGTTTAGATTTGATTTTTTAAAGCGTAAATCTATTTTTTTTTAAGTGATCTGAGATGAAGGGCAAGACACAAATGAAGAGAAATGGAGTGAGAGGGGGAGGAAAGACGATTGAGAATGGAGGCTGTGAGTATGAGATGACTCAGACGAGTGACGATTGAGAGAGGGAGGCTAAGAGAGGAAAAAATTACGAGTGAGAGATGAATTTGAGGGTGATGAGAGCGCAGGGGTGAAAACCTAAAGTGAAGTGAAAGTCTGAACTCTAAAGAATAAAGAACCCTATTTAAATATATTTATATATTTATGTATATTCGGGTTCAACTCGACAACCTAGAGCCTCAACCCGAGACTTGTCTAAATTCAGTTCGAGTTGAAGATTTTTTGTCCAGGCTTAATCCAAGTATTAAAAATTCTAACACAAGCCCTGTTTTTTTTGGATTGGGTTCGGGTTGACCCGCCCAAGTTGCACCCCGAGTTGGATTAACAAACATGTATTTTGAGTGGTAAACAACACTTCCAAAAGTCATGTCTCTTACACTTTCCCTATTGGGTCGATCCACCATGGACGCCCCGGTTTGAGTCGATAACCCAAGCCAATCACTCTTCAATTAACCCAATATCTAATAGGTTAAATACAGGTGGAAATCAGAAAATTTTGTCCATTGCATGGTGCTTGGTCACAATAACTTGATCAAAAATGGAAAAAGAAAATCAACGACAGGGAACGGTATTGAAAATATACTAGAACTGTCAGGAAAGAAGAAAGAACACCAAATCCAGCACACTTCAAGCATTGCTACGTCTAACCTTGAAACTTCTCTAAATAACAGTTCATTTCTGGTAGCTATCAATAAGGTATTGATCAGTCTAATCTAGGAAGGCGAGTAATCCCAGTAATCTTAGCATGTAGAAAGGTGAAAGGCAAGACTATAGATTTTACTAATAGTGTTGGGAGGTTCTAACTATGAGGAGACTCCCTAACCTAAGTGAAAGGCAAGACCATAGATTTTACTAATAGCGTTGGGAGGTTCTAACTATGAGGAGGCTTCCAAGCCCAAATGAAAAGCAGACTGCAATAGCAGCAACATTCTACTTCTCAAGATTCTTAGGAGGAGGCTTGATTAACTGTAATTATTCTTCATGCCTTCCCTCTAAAATCACAAGAAGAGAACCCTTGTAGTCTTCCAAGAGGATTACATTAGAGATCATAAGGCAGCTTCTCTCAAAACGAAGAACTCCCCACGGAACCAAAAATTATTCATGGCTTGGCAACTTACTATAATCCACCTGCTTTGGTCAACAGTAAATGGAATTACATGTAGTTGAGTGTCTTTAGATGTGTATAATAGTTACACATTTGAATGAAAATGAACTTTAGTTTCTAAAGAACGAAATGAAAATAATATCAAATCTTGAAATGCTTATTAGCAATATATATGCTAAAAAACTTAATAAAACAACAGAATGATCCTGTTGTAGGCTCTGTCTAGCAATGAGGTAGATCAAGGGGAGGCGGAGGCAGGGTGGATGACGGTGTTCCTCCATTCTCAACGACGAAAGCGGTGGCCAGGCCCCATGGCAAGTGCACGTCAAAGTGACAGTGCATCAACCATACACCTGCAAGGGCCACAGTTCCACGAACAAAATTAGTACATGCAATTGGACTTAGTCAGCAAAGGAATATATATATATATATATATAACCTGTTTCAACATAGGTATATATTGTATTATTTTGTAGTCTTTTTTTTTTTTTTGAATTACAAGTTTTAAGCAAATACATAACTTTGTCCAAAAATTTAAAATATATTTCATAACTATTTCTCACATTTGATCAAAATGCAACGTAGTAATTAAAAATACTTTTATATATGAATATACGCATGTTATCCTTAATTATGCATGTGATTAAGGTCGGAGGAAAGAACAAGACCCTTAATTATGCATGTGATTAAGGTCGGAGGAAAGAACAAGACCCGCTAATGGAAAACAACAAAACAAGAAAAATATAACAATAAATCTAGTTAAATTAAAAAAAATTAAAAATTTGTTAGTAGACACTGCATACTTTCAAAACTAGGAGAGATAAAAAGAATATAATTTTAAATGAATATTCACCTGGATTGTTAGCCCGGAATCTAATGACAGCCCACCCCCCAATTGGTACAGCAATCGTGTTACGTTTTTGTGGATTGTCAAAATTAAACTTTTTCGGATCGTTCACAGGATCGAAGTTGCCAAACCCTTGAGCCAACACATAGAAGTTGAATCCATGCAAGTGTATAGGGTGATTTTCCACACCAATCAAAGCTGTGTTCTGCATCACCATCTCAACCGTTGCATTAAACTTGACTTTCTTCACTTTTGTTGACTTTGTTGTTANAGATTCTTAGGAGGAGGCTTGATTAACTGTAATTATTCTTCATGCCTTCCCTCTAAAATCACAAGAAGAGAACCCTTGTAGTCTTCCAAGAGGATTACATTAGAGNTATCAAAAGGGATTGATTTAAGCTGTTATTTGCATTAGTGTAGTCAAATATCAATGGTGGTTGATCAGGAAAATCAGTGGTGTAGATTCCATCAACGTTGTTGAAAAAAGCTTGTAACATTGACAACTTGGTGGGGAGCTGGAAAGATGCATTGTTCATGCTCGCAGCGAAGCGTTGGCCAAATAGGCCTCCACAGGTGGCATTTGCTGCACATGCAGCAAGGCCCAAACCAATAGTGATAAACATGGGTTCATCCACGTTCAGTGGTACTGGGGCCCAGAAAGGTGAAGTAACAAGCCCAGTTAGATTGCTGAAGAACTTGAAGGCAGTGGGTGTATCATTGAAGGCTGGTAGCACCGGCATTATGGGTGCTGATGAGGTGGCGCAGTCGTAGACGATTATTCCAGTGGTAGTGGTGTTATCAAACGCTACTGCTCCGTCTGTGCTATCGTAGGCATGTGCTGCCATGTAGTAAGATGCTGGTGGCTGATCGGCGATTAAGAGGACATCGGTGGTCTGGCCGGGGGATATGACGACAACGTCGGTTACATAAGGGTTGGTGTANGTCATTGAAGGCTGGTAGCACCGGCATTATGGGTGCTGATGAGGTGGCGTAGTCGTAGACGATTATTCCGGTGGTAGTGGTGTTATCAAACGCTACTGCTCCGTCTGTGCTATCGTAGGCATGTGCTGCCATGTAGTAAGATGCTGGTGGCTGATCGGCGATTAAGAGGACATCGGTGGTCTGGCCGGGGGATATGACGACAACGTCGGTTACATAAGGGTTGGTGTAGGAGGCGTCAACGGCGACGACAGTCATTTTGTGGTTGGCTATCTTGAAGAACAAGTGGTCATTGAGTGCAGCGTTGACAATACGTAGAAGATAGGTTTTTCCTTGTACCACCTTCAACTTGAATGTATCTGAAAGAACACACACACACACACTTGATCATTTGTTAATGTAAATGAAACACCATAAAAACCGAAACTGAAGCTTTAAGTAGCTAGGAAAGTAATCTGGATTGGTGTCGCTTACGTTTTGAAGAACATGGGTAGAGATCACCGGGCTGACCATTAATGGTGAAAGCATTAGAGATGTTAGGAGCACCACCACTAGCTAATGCTTGGCTTTCCACCTCAAAAACGTTAGCATTCCACCACTCTCCTGCAATCACATTTTTCATGGGTTTTGTTATACTAGATTGTGCACTCATGAAATATTTCGAGTCATAGTTTATGTTTTAATTTTATTTTTGCATATTTTTTTTAAAACATAATAAAATAAATACAATTAATACATACTTTCGATTCAAAGTAATGCACTGAACTTATTATAGAATTCTCTTTTGGACATCGAATAACCCTTAAAGTTTTTAGAGACACTATTTATTTTTCATGAAATAAATAGTTTGACTTAATATTATTTGGAACACCATTGTAATGGGTATTGTATATTACAATGTATGCATATATATATATATATACAAAGAATCACAAACATTTATTAAAATGTGAAAAATAGACGGAGGGAAATACATTTAAAGTTATCCTGACGATTCATNGATAGGTTTTTCCTTGTACCACCTTCAACTTGAATGTATCTGAAAGAACACACACACACACACTTGATCATTTGTTAATGTAAATGAAACACCATAAAAACCGAAACTGAAGCTTTAAGTAGCTAGGAAAGTAATCTGGATTGGTGTCGCTTACGTTTTGAAGAACATGGGTAGAGATCACCGGGCTGACCATTAATGGTGAAAGCATTAGAGATGTTAGGAGCACCACCACTAGCTAATGCTTGGCTTTCCACCTCAAAAACGTTAGCATTCCACCACTCTCCTGCAATCACATTTTTCATGGGTTTTGTTATACTAGATTGTGCACTCATGAAATATTTCGAGTCATAGTTTATGTTTTAATTTTATTTTTGCATATTTTTTTTAAAACATAATAAAATAAATACAATTAATACATACTTTCGATTCAAAGTAATGCACTGAACTTATTATAGAATTCTCTTTTGGACATCGAATAACCCTTAAAGTTTTTAGAGACACTATTTATTTTTCATGAAATAAATAGTTTGACTTAATATTATTTGGAACACCATTGTAATGGGTATTGTATATTACAATGTATGCACATATATATATATATATACAAAGAATCACAAACATTTATTAAAATGTGAAAAATAGACGGAGGGAAATACATTTAAAGTTATCCTGACGATTCATCTGAAAATTGGCTGAGTAGATTTGAGAAGTATATTAAAAAAAAGGTTAAATAGTTGGAAGGAAATAAATAACTTTGATGTCGTGAGAGCCTATGAACTTTAATAACGTAAGCAAAAAGAAATGAATGATTTGGATTTGTGAATAGTATCATAGTAGTATTATTTTAATTTTATGTTAAATAAGCCTCGTAGTATCTTTATGCAATGTCATATGAAAAATTATATCAGTCATAAATGGTGTACATAATACACGAGGCTCCCGTCATTGTAGAGCGTAGGAATGATTAAATATATACAGTTTTATCCCTGCGAGTTAAGAGACTGTTTTCGCGACTCAAATTCATAACATCTAAGTCACAATAATAATGAATATAATCATTGATAATAATTATGTTCACATTTTAAAAAGAAGAAGATTAAGGTTTGGACATATACGATGTTAATGAAGTTGGTGTTCAAATAGAGTCCATATTGGAGAGGTTAGTGTTGTTTATGTTTTATTTTAAGGATAAAGTAATCCAAGCCGAGATAGAATAACTCGTCTCGATTAATATTCATACCTACTCTAGATAAATCACACGATGTTGAAGCTTGAAATATTTCAAAAATGAAATTCGAAAAGTGAATAATTTCTTATTAACTTCAACGAAGACTAAACGAGCCAAACTCTACATATTTAAAGTCGTCTAACGTCCTAGCCGGGGAAGGGAAAATAATAAACCACACATTTTTAAACTTACTTAAAAGAAACTTGACAATGAACCTTTTTTTTTTATTTGTCTTCAATTCTTCTTATTCCTGCGCACGTTTCTCTTCATAAATAAAAAAGTTAATATTACTTTTAGTTTTAAAAGTACGTATTTTTTGTTAGCTTAATGTATCAATTTTATCATTTTAGTTTTTCAAATATTCAATTTGTGTTACTTTGATCTTTAATTAGATAATCCGTCAAATTTTTTAATAAAAGTAATCACGTGTCATTTTTTTAGACGATATCACATGCCCACCACGTGATCATTACGTCAAAAACTTAATGGTCTGTCTATGTAAGGGTCAAAATGANTTTTTTTGTTAGCTTAATGTATCAATTTTATCATTTTAGTTTCTCAAATATTCAATTTGTGTTACTTTGATCTTTAATTAGATAATCCGTCAAATTTTTTAATGAAAGTAATCACGTGTCATTTTTTTAGACGATATCACATGGCTACCACGTGATCATTACGTCAAAAACTTAATGGTCTGTCTATGTAAGGGTCAAAATGACACAAATTAAATAATTTATGGACCAAATTGATACAATGATAACTAAAAATATATTTTTTAGGAACAAAAAATGTTATTGACCCTAAATAAAAAGTTGATTCCAGGATCAGAGAGGACTTTTGTACCTAGTACAATCGGGACCTCCTTGTAGGGTTTTGGGAATGGATATGAACAACCAACCCTTGGCCGGATAATGAGTGCCCCATAAATTGTTGCTCGAAGCCATTGGACGTGTGCATGCCACCAGAGAGTGCCTTCCTGTCCGGTGATGGTGAAGTTGTAGACATAGCTCTGTCCAGGCAGCATCGGACACTGAGTCGTATATTCCGGTCCATCGGCCCACCCACTTAGTAACTGGAAAACTCCATGCCTGCATAAATGTAATACGTCCTGAATACATATATACATGAATTGATAGTGATAGTTCTACTTACATAATATCTATCTATTTATATATATATTCAACTGTGTTTGTTCAAGGCTAACGTTGTGTTCTAATTGTCATGACAAGAAAAGCTTGGTCAAATCTTTGAAAAGTCATACACTGGTCATATTCAAAAGGTTATCTAAAGCCATGCTGGAGTATTATTGAAAGAAAAAGCATATGTTCTAGTGTAACAAGTTACTACAGTTTAAGAAGCCACTAGTATATAAAGTTTCAGTAATGTAATGCTGATCAAATTTGAGGATCAAATTAAGAGTTCAAATGATATGATAACATATTATTTAGAGTCTTTATTGAGGCGTAAATGACATGACATCAAATAAAAAAGTTCAAGTCAGCTGCCATGTCATTTGGACTCTTGATTTGGTCCCAAAATTTAATCAATATAGCATTACTCATAAAGTTTTCACTTGTTTGTTTTCAACTGTCAAACAACAAAGGTAGACCATGGACAAAATTTATAATCGATTAACCTATCATACTTATATAATAAATGAGATATTTTCTGTTGCAAACACTTTTGACACGATAATAAATTCACGATATAGACATTGGACAATACATAATTAACAATAACATAGTAACCCCATCAAATTAAAATCATTGTAGAAAAATGATCCCCGTTGTATTGTCACAGTTACTACAATTTAAGAGACCGTCGATTTACATTTGCTTAGTTTTGAAATGTAGGGTTTACCAGTGAATAGTTATGTTATATGGTGACAAATTATAGACACGAACGACTAGAGTGTCACCCTCTCGAACACTTATCGTTGGCCCTGGAAGCCTTCCATTGACTGCAGCGATCACTTGCTCTTGGCACAAACGACAGATGGTCACATTTTGCACCTGAGAAGTTGGAATTTGAAAGTGTCAACATGAGTTTATACACTGTGAACCTTCAATATAAGAAAAGAAAAATGAGAATAAAAATATTTTCAGTTTTTAGAAAATGTAGTGTTAGACAAGAAAGAAAACAAGCTCGAAAGCGAGGAAAGTAAGCCCTTTGTCCTCCAACCGATCAGATAAGATCAAAAAAAAGTGGAAGAAGATTTACATTCTTGTTTGTCCTAGCTTATCTATCATGCATTCCTCAAAACCTAATAGGATAAAAGGCAAAAGAAAGAAAGGGAGCAAGAGGAAAGGTCTCAGGTGAAATAAAGTAAGGAAAGATGACCAGTTAAAGATTCACTTAATATTGCATGTCAAAGTCCCGAACCCTAACCCTAATCAATTCAATAAGGGGTTACACCCCAATTTGGAATATTTGGCTCCTCAATGAATTATATTACTGTTCCCTCATTCATTTTAATTGCTTCTGCTTACACCCAAAATAGCAAAAATACGCCAAACAACTTCTCTTCAAGACAATGTTTAAGATTCAGAAAGAAAAAAAATTAAAAAGCACAATTTTAAATGGGTGAGAGAGATTACATAGAATGAATGCTCTACAATTTCAGCAGAAGCAAATGTTGAAGCTAGAAGAGCTATAGCAAATGTTGGTGCCAGTAAGTACGCCACCAGACGTGCCATGCCAAATACAGGGAGCTATGAGGAGATGAAGAAATGAAGCCAGAAACTCTATTACGAATCTGAAAAGTCCTTAGAGCCCGAGCATGCCAATATGCTTTATCTCAAATACTCTTTGTTCTTTGGAATTGCTTTCCCCAAGTCGTATATATATATAGCTACAAGACCCTTAGTCTTTCCCCCTATAGCGCACGTGAGAAATAGATTAAAAAGGTGGTGATTTTATACTAATGAAACCTTCATTATCCAAAAGGTTGAGTTTGCCATCACGAAACTGCATAAAATGAAGTGATAGTCATCGAATACTGGTTGTTTAAGCAAAGTTAATTCCTTTAAAATTGGTGATTTTGAACTACTTTGATACACTAACAAGGACTAAACTTTTGTTTGTTTGTGCTAATGTAGTTTTTTCGGAAAGTTGGAAGTATTCAACTTAAACCAAAGACATCTCCAACCTAATATTACCCATAATGTATATCAGAATTTTGGCTGGTTACAATTTTATCGTTGTAGTCTTGATCATTAAGGCTGACAACCTGATATCAATCCATTAGGACAATATTGTCTGATTATTAAGATTGTTACACATGAGCTTGTCATCCTTTAATGTCCATGTCTTTGCCCCTTAACTGTATAACGTGAGAGTAATACTATGTTGATTAAATTTTGAGACTAAATTAAGAGTTTAAATGACATGGTAGCTGACTTTGACTTCTTTAATTAGTGTCATGTTATTTGAACCCCAATAAAAAATTTAAATAATATATTGTCATGTCATTTAAACTCTTAATTTAATCACAAAATTTAGTTAGTATAGTATTACTAATAACTGGGTTCTGGTCTTTCTTTTTCAATACAAACCCCATTAAACCAAAGGTGCAACGTATTTCTTCTTCAATAAAAACTCCATCAACTACGGGTGTCAAAGCTAATCAGTAATAAACAATCTAGAATGTTGAACATTCAAATGATTGTCCTTTATGACATTTTAATTAACCAGGTGGAATTAGGGGGAGTCAATCGTGTTATTCGTGTTGTATTTATATTAAGACTTACAAAAAAATTTTATTTAATGTATTCTGAATATTATATATTAGTCTATATTATTTATTCCGCGCATTTAATAATCATATCGATTTTATAATCATTCGCATTAATAGGTCACAGTTGACACCTCCTAGATAAAATCATCCCAAGATCGATGTTTGTAACTTCTGCACTTCTAGATTGAATGGGAGTTGGAAATCAATTGCTATACACTATTAACAACTACTCACCTAATATCACCGTCCTCCTACCTAACCCCATCCCCAAGAAAAAGAAAAAAAAGTAATTATTTCTTGAAATAAAGAACAACCCAGAAACAAAGAAAAATAATCTCTGGAAGGACAAATAAAAACTAAATTATAAATAACACCTACAAGTTCATGTCAGAATCTCAGCCCAAAAGGTCAAAACTACAGTGAGAAGACTGCAGCTGACAAGATGTCCTATCATTTTCACCCCAGCTGTTAAATCAAATGCCCAAAAACCCACAAATAATGAGGCTTGACCAATTAAAATTAAAAAAAAAAAGTCAATCTAGCCTGTTGCAACACACTTTCTCATGTTGTTTATCCGATGACTGGATTGTGTATAGTTCGACTCAATAATTTACAGTTTTCTAAAGTTCCCGAGCTCTAGTTTCCTCGGTTTAATGTGTGTTGAAATTTTTTTATATTGCACTTTCATTAATCGATTGTTAATTTTTAATTTATGAAAAATATGCTAAATTTATGGTTCAATTAGATGAGCTTAATATTTTAAATGTTTCGTTTGGTACGATGAAAAAGTGGGAGGATAAAAAGTTAGAAGGATAGAAAATTGGAGGGATAAATAAAACATCATGTTTGAAAAGAAAAGAAAGTAGAAAGGATGGAAAAGTGGATGGATTAACTTTCCTTCCAACTCAGCAAAATCAATCCCTCCAAAATCGGAAGGAAAGTGGATGAAAATTTAATTATTTATATTGAGATGTATCTTATTTGTTTATATATTTTATGTATACATTAATTTCATATAAAAATACAATGATAAAATATGTATATATATTTTAAAATTTTTTAAAAATTAATTTTAAAAAAAAATTAAAAATTAAAAATAAAGAAATTTTAAAAATTTTAAAAATTAAAATAAAAAAATATTTTAAGTTAAAAATATATATATTTTTTTCATCTTAACTAAAGGCGAAAATTTTCGACTCAATACAATGATAGGACTCGAATTTGATAAGAAAATAAATAGGTCAACTCGCAACTCGACACGACACAATTAGCTAAATGAGTTAAGTTAAGTTTGACTAATATTCGACACAAATTCGTAATGACTTAACATGAATCTGACACGACACGACTCGACTCTATTGTCACCTCTAATCTTATCCAGCACAAAAAAAAATAGTTATTTTTATTTTGCATCCATCCAACCAAACACCAAGGAAGAAAAGTGTATATTTTCTACTTTCCATCCTTGAAGGATAGAAAGTGTATCATTCCTATTTTTCATCTTTCTTACTTTTCATCATCTCTACCAAACGGAGCATAAATGATCTATTTTGATGGGGTTATGTACATATTTTAATTAATGTAGTTGAGGTAGTTAAATATAAGTTTTAATCTAATTGTGGCCCGTAATGGAAGAGCCCATTAAATTCATTATAAATAGCAGACTAAATCTCATCTCCACTTCATAAACCTAATTTGAATTGTCACATTGAGAGTTGTCTATTGTTTTGAAGAAGGAGATAAATATCTCACCCTTCCTCGAAAAGAAGCTTGGAGATCAAATATCAGGACTCACACAAATATGTTTTAGACCAGGAGTTCTAAATTTTACATACGAGTTATTAAAATTTTGACAATAAAATTTATTTATAATTTTATTTATCCAATTTGGAGGCTTCAAAACTTTTTTATTTTGAAACGTTGGCGGCACCAAACTTCTCAACACAATCGCCGTCAATATGGCCATTGTAGAAGCAAAGACGTCCTCAAACTAGCGCTAATCCTATATGTAAATTTTTGTTGCACGTGATTTTCTTGGTGCACAGATTTTTTTTTAATTCTTTATTTCTTCTCTGCAAATTGCATGAAGTTGCTTTGTCCAATTGTTGTGTTATATTATACGGTGAGGTTGTTATTTTATTTGATTATGTCATATATTCTGGTAATTTATTAAATAATTATTATTTATTTACTTGTTCTGTTGATGATACTCATATAAATTACTGATAGAAATTAATTATTTTATTTTATTATAATATAAATTTGATTGAATTGCTATAATTTATAAAAAGTGGTTTGTACAACTGTTAATCATAAACCTTAATTATTTTTACAATGAATATTTGTTAATGATCTACATATTATTTATTAATATTGGTAGATTTGAATTTAAATTACTTAATTAATTTTAATAGTAAAAATAGAATTTAGGCTTGAATGCATTGATAGATGATGAGTGATTTATAAAAGTACATATTAGTTAGTATCTCATATTGATTCATCACATGATATTTAATTATGAATATTTGTTATAATATCCGGGTTTGAGAAATTTATAGATTAAAATGGATGGTTTTCACCAAAGTGGTTCATTCGTTAAAATTTATAGATTGTTCTCATGTTTTTGTTACTGGATGGTCTTTAAATTATAATATACAATTACCTGCCCAAAAAAAGTTATTATATATTGTAGTTTAAAGATGTCATGAAAATATTTTTGTTTAAAAAAATTTTATAGGTTGATATAGATGGTTGCTACCAAAGTGGTTTATTCATTAAAATTTATAGGTTTTCTCATTTTTTTTGTTATGGGATGATTTCTAAATTATAATATATAATTACTTGCCGAAAGGGGGTTATTGTATATTATAATTTGGAGATGTCATAAAACATTGTGTTATAGGTGCAATAGTCTAGAAGGTTTATCTGTCCAACGGAGATATATTTTTTGAAACTTGAATATTCTCATTGGTTAGTTTCATGAAAGAGATAACCTATAGTATATTACATTCTCTGCTCAAATAGGAGTTTATTGTGATGTATTTGAAATCTCTTAATAAAATATGACTTATTATGTTCAAAGTATATGTTATTTATTTATTACCCAATTTTGTTAAATATGTGTACTCTCGTTGCCTTGAACAACCTCTTTTACTGTGAATATCAATAATACCAACATTTAGGTCATGATTGGTTCTAATTATAAGAGAACGAACTTCCTAAACCTACTAGTGAAACCTCTCCTAAAGTAAAAGAATTTTTACAAAAAGTACGAGAAATCTAATCAGCTGAGTATGATTGCCATGAAAAAGTCTCTGAACACCTTATGAGTGGTTTGCCCCATGAATGTCAATGAGTTTTTTATCGTTGTAAGAGAGAGATACAAGGTATCAAATAAGACTGAAACGGAGGCCTAATGAATGAACTAATGAGTATGACATATGATAATGTAGGTGATGTTAGAGAATATATTCTTAAAATAGTCTATGTTCAAACTAAGCTCAAAGCTTTCAAAATTACTATTCCTGATGATTTTTCGTTGTTCATCAAAGTCTTAATTTTTTACCTCCTAAGTTTAGCCAAATCAAAACTGCCTATAATACCCAAAATGAGTCCTAAATAACAAATGACCTTATCTTCAAGTGTGATTCTAAGGAAGAAAAGAGTAAAACTATGTTGTTAGTTTTCTAACCTAAATCTAGTTTCAAATATAGGTATCAGGAAAATAATAAAAACCCTAATCTTAATGCTCCAAACCCTAACTATCTTGTTGTTGTGACTTTTACAGGGATTCAAAAGAAAATGGAAGCCAAATGAATGGATAGTCAAGCTTAAAGTAGGAAATAATAATGAAGTCTATATTGAGTTCATAGGAACTATTATGTTGAATTTAGATATTAGTTTTCAAATTTTTTTAGAAAAACACTTTTTATATACTGTCATTTATTCGAAATTTGATTT